TCCATAGGGGAAGGAAGATCCGTTTATCTGATTGGACACTGGGGAAAGAAAGGATCTTCCCAAGTTTTCTTCGGGACCGATGATCCCATGTCCTAGGTGACCGATGAGGGGAATCTCTTTTGGGGCCGAAAAAAAGAAAACAAAGAAATCCCATCGCAGGAGTGTTTATATAGTGACCTGATTGGTGGTCACCGTAAATATGTCAATCCTTCCTCTTGATAAAAAGATCTCAGCCCCGCAGTGATTCTACTGATTCTACACTCCAAACTTCAAACATGTATTTTTTGTTCATCAATAATTAACCGTTTGCATTAGGGACTCCCAGAGGTGACGCACTCTGCCGGACGATCCATATGGCCAGACGATCCAGAAGATGCTGCAACGGCGCCGGCTTAGATGTTCTTCTGTGGCGAAGAGCCGACCACATACTGTAGATGTCCTTTCCGTAGGGAATGCATCATGAATGACCCGCGTATATGAGTCTACTGGTACTTTATTATGCGGTTGTCTTTTTCCTAAGTCATGGGACCTAACTTAAGTCGATAAGGATTTTGATCACCCCCTTAATTCCCCTTATGTTTGTTTTATTATGCGTGTCAAAACACTGTTTTTGAGGGTTTCAGGTACCCAGCCAGATGGATCCTCTTTTTTGACGGCGCCCGCCAGGATGGTGTCCGCGTGCCTTTCCCACGCCCGACCAAGCGCATCAAGCCCCCGCATGGTGCGTTCTGGTGAGACGTGCGGCCAGACGTGCGGCCAGGAGAGCGGTGAGAGATCACATCGCTGGACATCGGGGACCAAGATCATGATCATGGTCATCAGCTATAGGATCTATAGACTTATTTTCATGTATTTTCATGTGAGGTATTGATGTAAATCCGTTTGTGTGAGATCAAACGCAACAATTGACGTCCGACCATTAGGGTCATTGGTGGGTGACGCATCAACTGCGGGTGACGCATCAATCAACTGCGGGGGACATTTGGATTCCTCTCACAGCATCAACTGCTTGCAGTTTAAGGATTTGGGGACCCAAGAGCGAACATCAAGTGAACACCACATGACTTGGTCAGTGCCCACTGTGGCAAATGGGCAACATATCTTCGATCCTCAGAGTATAGCAGGACTGCCTGGACACATCAATGTGTCTAGCGTGCGAAGGGCTGGAGTCACAGAATTCAATCATACACAGAAAGCCGGTCTTCACCATGAAAGTTCTGTATTGAAATTGAATCACGGTCTTACACTTATGACTATAAGACCACTGTATCAAAACTTGTAGTTTTATAGTCCATTCAATCAAGTCCATGTGTTCATGGAATGATACACCAGACGGTCTGCAATCAGGCTCATAGTATGTGGATGTGTCCATGATGTGTCCTTTCCAAGGATTATCCTAGGATTTAAACATGATTTAAACATTCATTCACTGCTATTCATAGGTATTGTTATGTGGATGTTCCAAGTATAGCAAGCCTTCGGATCCTTCGGCGGCTTGCACTTTTCCCATTTTGTGCTTGCAGACAACAGATCATGGAACCCATGGGATGAATCTATCCCAAGAAAAGTCACCCTTTTCCCGTTGGTTAAGAGGTGCGAGCCCCCCGGCACGGCCAGAGACACCCAAGAAAAGTCACCAATGTTTTCACTTTGCGTCTTCAACGCAACCAAAAACAGCCAGGTCCGTCGCTGAGCCACGGGTGCCGTTCGGGTGCCGACCGCGAGTGCCGTGCCAGGACAGTCGTACCTTTCCAGCCGTGCCGAGGGGCATGGCTACAGACAGGGTTAGCTGTCAGCTGGGGGGCGCCCCAGCGCCCCATAGTTCTTTTCCACATTGATAGGGTTAGCTGCCGCGGGTGGCGCTCTTTGGCCCATGGTTGCAGCTCTTTAGGCTCCAGATACACAGCTTTCAAGAGCATCCGATTCATAGACGATCATGGAGGCGATTCAAGAAGTGGCCAAAACTCAATGAGCAACATTGAGCAGCTTAAAGACGTGAATGGTTGGAAAGCTTCACTTATATAACTTATAATCACATAACATATGATACTATCGTAAAATATTGAAAATCAACGTGTAATTATGTTTAAACATGAGATACAATGGATGTTGGACTTGACTAGTTGACCCCGTTGGACAGTTGTTGGGGCTCACCAGTGTCTTGATGGCAACGCAAGTCGCAAGATAGTCACGGCTTGCAAAGTCACAACGTACAACAGCTTGGACAACAGATCCTTTGGGGCTTACTATGGGGCTTACTATGCCAACTGCTAAGATCTATCCTTCGGGCTTAGGAGCCTGGGGAAGACTGCTCACCCGAAGAGGGCATCGGATGACGTGAACGCCGTTTGTTCACGGTGCACCGCGTGTTCGTTCGGTTCACCTCCTAGTAGTAAGGCCAGGAGCCCCTAGTAGCGTCCTTGCTCCCAGTAGCGATGCCAGGAGCCCCTAGTAGCG